ATGCTCATTAATGAATAGAGATATTTTCTTTTGTATAAGAGTGAAAGGGCTATCCTGCTGTAAGATGTTATTTTATTTATTGGATTTTGTTTAAGAAATAGGACTTGGTAATAATAGCTAAAAGGGGAAGTGTAAAAGATATGAGTAACTATCTTTGGTAACACCAGTTACGGACCTAAATACACAGGGACATAATTTACGGTATACAACATGGCTACCGAAATAAATAGCTTTTGAACGAAGCATTCACTTATTATTTTACAGGGTTAGGGGAGATTTAACATGGGTTGTCTATTTGCAGATGCAGGCTTTAACCCCGCTCACTGATTAACTGGCTTTTTGATCACCCCTCTTTTTTTTACTTATTTCCAGTGTAAAGAAGGCCCTGAATAGCAATGAAAACAATGATCTTTGAGTTTGCATTATTTGTTTCTTAGCGCAAACTTATGGAAATGGTGACGAAAACACGCGCCTGAAGAGCTTTTTCACTTATTGAAGGTTAGAAGAGGCGATTGTGTTGTCGTAAGAGGCAACTAACTAGATCTGCTGGTCAGGGCATGCATGCCATCGTACTACAAGGGTTTGCATAGATGTTTATGTCAAACACCGTATTCAAATATTTAGCGCTGACACTCACTAACAACAAGAAAAAACAAACAAAAAAAAAAAAAAACCAAGAAACGAAAATAGTCAACGATGTCATCGTAACTGAACAGCATGATCAGACACGTCGCCCGACTAGAAATAGTTGCTTGAAACGATTCAAACACTGGAATATCTATGAATATAAACAATATAAAACAAAACCCAAACCAAAAAACAACTACCTTCTGATCAAAAACAATATGTTTTCCTCCGAGAGGCGGTGAAGTACCCTAGTGCTACGCCGCCATGTCATCCCATTTGAAGTCCCAGAGTCTTTTGTGGGCATGGGTGACTGAGTGAGTTGGGTTTTACATCGCTTTTAGCAACATTCCAACAATATCACATCCGGGAGACACCTCATTTAAACAGTGGGTGGGTGAGTTTTCTTTTACACCGCTCTCAGTAAATCGATCCCTTCTATGGCGGCAGTATGTGTAAATAATCGAGTCTGGACCAGATAATCCCGTGATTAGGGAACCACGTGACTGATCAACCAAGTCAGCGAGCCTGACGATCCCGTTAGTCGCCTCTAACGAGAAGCATGCATCAACACCCGGATCTTCTATGGGTCTGTTTAAACAGTAAGCACTAACAGTATATTCTGTGCACGGGGGATTGGAGAGCTCACATAAAGTCATCTGCTACTTATAATCACATTAGGAATATCGTTTTGAAAACTGTTTGGTGTTTTTAGTGACATATACATGTTCGGGCTGTAGACAGAGTTTCAAATATTTTATCATGCCCGATATTGTCTGAATCCCAACACATGGAAATGGACAACATTATTTACATCAATTAACACTTTTAACCTGTGTTTATATTGTCATTCATTGACATGTTGTTTTTCTTGTACGTTTTCTTTTTCGTTCCGATGTACTATGTTTCTATACACATGATATTACTTGCGTTTTAAAAGCTTCTTGGAACTCCAAATGATTTTGGCAAGGTTTTAGAAAAACGGATTGTTTTGTGTTGAATGAGCTAGTTTTTCAATCTGAGGTGAGACTGTAATATATATCTGTCTGCTATACCTCAACAAGCTGTTTGTGGGTTCTGTAAATCTGCGAGTGGTTAAGCAAGCAATCACCGGACCCAAAAGGTTACACGAACAGTGGAACATTTAATCCAGTAAGGCAGTACTTTGAGTCTGACACCATATAGCTGAAAAGGTGCTGAGTGCGGCGTAAAGCAAAAAAAAAAACCATACCGAGTCTGATAGTTATTACGGACCTTTGGTAAATGAAATGTACAGCCAAATTCTTCTTTGCCCCCAATAAGTGCAAAGATTCTGCAAAAACGTTGCAGAGAGGTTCCCGTCCAATGAAACTATGCCGTTTCTAATGTTTTCCAGTTGACGGAGCTGTCAGCGCTTGGGGGGTCGTGGGGCACGTTGGTATGTTCACAGACATGCGGCTCCTCGGCCACAGGAACCAGGACTCGAACCCGAACCTGCACCAACCCTGCTCCAGCTCACGGAGGAGCGGACTGCTCAGAGCCTCTTACAAGCACCACCAGTCAATACTGTGGTTTCTCACAGTGCCCAGGTGAGGTGATTGGTTGTTTGGTTTGTTGTTTTACGCCGCACTCAGCAATATTCCTCCTATATGGCTGTGGTGTAGTCATACATAGACCTATACTAATGATCTAATGACATGGCCGGAATGGCGGATGGTAGTGATTTTGTCACATTTAATTTTGTTAGCTTTAATTTTGTGTGATATAAAGGAAGCCTGTTAAGCATGTTATATTTAAAATAGAGATTATAAAAAACCCAACATAATATAATATGATTATAATGATCCTCTGGCGATGCATGTCAAGATTCGTGATGAAAGTAGGAGTTTCCATAACTGTTTGAATATATATATATATATATATATATACCAAATAACTGTTTGAAGCGTGCCTAGAATCTCAAAGTTGACCTTTCAGTGAACTTTTCTAACGTCTGGATGACTTAAAAATCAATAGATGTCTCTGTTGATTTGCATGTATGTGCATTCTTACGGTATACGGAATGCTGGTATGTCATTGAGGACTATTGTAGGAGATGTTGCATAGGTTATTGCAAAAGAGTATCAGCTGAAAACTTCATCCAAATAATGACGTTAAGGAGCGTCAGCGTTTAGGTCGACCACGAGTGACCACTACTAGGAGAGAAACAACCCTTCTGAAAATCCCTTCTGCGTCGCCGTTTGTCCAACAGAACAGTCCCAAATCGCCTAAAATACCAGAGTATAGAGCCTATTAGACATCCGTTGTTTTCCCCAGAGTACCAAGCATTATGACTAGCTTGGTGTCAAGCTCAACGTCACTGGATTTGAGGTCATAGGGAAAGGTCCACTCGTCACATGATGTAGGATAGCGTTAATACACTGTTTATTGCCGATATCACGAGGGGTATACATGTTAATGTACGCTTTGGTAGCATACAGAGTACAGGGTACTCAGGCAGTGATATATACTATCCATCAAAAGTTCAGACTCACCAATTGTAAATGTAGCCACTTTTAATTATTTCTGTCAACTGTTCTATACTAGATTTTGCAAAATATTTCATACAGTTTGAAAGTATTGTTTACACTTGAACTGATGTATTGTAAAACATATTCGTAACGTTGAAAAGATTATTGTCATGAGTTCAATAAATGATGAAACTCAGTGAAAATTGGCGAATTCTTAACAAAACTTTTATACCAAAACGCAGCTGTTCACATGCACGTGTTAATGGAAAATTCATCTTCGATGTAACCATATATAAATATACATAACATATAGTGAGTGTTTTAAGTGAATCCTAAACTTTTGATGGGTAGTACATATACAACGAATTTATCTTACACCATCATTTCTACTGCTACATCTGTTTTACGTGGGCAATAAAAAGTATGTAATTTTATGATGGAATAAAATTTCCAACCATTTTGTACCCTCGAAGACACATCCAAAAAACCAACATTTTTTTCACTCAAATGGTTAATAATTTAACTCCAAAAATATTTGAGCGATCTCGTCCCTAAGGTATCTGACACACTACAAACTACAGTTTCCGAGACCGTTTGAAGCTCCAAACTATCGTGATAGTAAAAGTGCAAATTATGCCAAGTCATTTTCTCCCAGATACAGTAAGATTGTGGAATTCTTGGTCTACCGATTATAGAGAATCTGCTACTTTGGGTAGTTTTAAGAAACAGATTAATGTGTCAAATAATAATAGTCAAAACTACAGTAACTTCAATTTAAACTCTCTCAATCAAGATTCTGACAGATTATCCATTCACGCCTCAGGCTCGGTTTGCAGCGATTTCAACGCAGATAAATATCAACGATTTATATCTTCAAATCCCTGTTGTTCTTGTGGCTATTGTTACGAAGATCCAATTCACTATTTCTTTTCGTGCGTAAATTACACACTGACATAAGACATAAAATGGACTTCTATACTAAAGATATGACATCAAATCAATACTATACGGCCACTCTAATGGATCTACTAAGGGTAATCTTGAATTATTAGAATCTATCCATTCTTTCATTGTACTGTCAGGCAGATTTGTGTTGTAATAGTAAAAAACGAAATTGCACTAACTATTACGTATTTATTTTACGACACTAATGGTTCTAATGTTAAAAGCGACTCATATTACAGTTTTTGATTGATTACAGTTTCCAGAAAGCTATTTTGTATTGTTTGTTAATATAATGCTTTTCTCCTCACGATTGTTATATCTATGAATTTATCTGTATTCCGGAGCTGTATTCAGATAAACAACATACTGTTTGTTTACCAAAACGGTTCCTCTTTTGAAATAACTATATGTTTAAACCAAAACATGAAAACCACAATCCTATATAAGAACTACAGTTGCAGTGTGCGTGCCTGTTTGCGTCAGCACATCTATGCCATTAGACTGAATCGTGGCATAGCGTATTGGACTTGTGGAAGTCGCGCAGGTTGCTGAGCTGGATGAAGCGGCTGACTTTGTGTCCTGCGATTAGGTGCTCGGACCCTAAGGGTGTGGAGTTCGAATCCCGCATGGGGACACAACCCAACAAAAGTACCAAAATATGTACTTTGCTAAGAAGGTGTTATCCCAAATATAAACATGTGTTACGTTACCAAGATAATATTTTTCATTGAAGTGATTTTACCAGATGGGTTATAAAACAAGTTTTTCAGGAGAGCACTAAAATAATATATTCTTCACCTTTAGTAAACGGTGGCGTCCAGCAGCTGGAGCTCTTGGACTGGCTCCTGTACACAAACCTGTGGCACATCTCATACTGTTTCCAAAACCCGTAGTCGAACCTGCACGAATCCATCTCCAGCTTACGGTGGATCTTCCTGTATTGGAGACTCTTTCAGAAACGTCCGTCTTCAGCTGCGGCCTGCCTGCATGTACAGGTAGACATCTGCATTTACATTAACAATACTTTGTTCATATTCGTATATACTTCATACAAGCAAAAGCACAAGAACAAAATTACTGCGTCTGATATCCTTGAGAAGTGTAGTCTGGAGAAATATCATAAAGCCAATAGAGTTTAGAAATATTAAGCGCTGTCAGGGTAGCCTAGTGAGTAAAGCGTTCGCTCGTCCTGGTTTGATTCCAAACATGGCTACATTTCATGAAGCTCAATTCTGGTGTAAAACTGGTGCAATATTGCTAAAAGCGGCTTAAAACTAAAGTCACTCACTCATTCACTAGGAAATTTAGAAATAAAGGGAACGAATAATTTTATTTCTGTTATGTGTTTTCCGCTTTCGAAAAATGAACGTTGTGGAACCGTTCAAAAATTCGGTTATCCCTTTGGAAATGAAATAAACAAGAAATAGCCAAAATATATACTCTTCCAAAAAGAAACGCATCATGAAAATAGCAATTTCATGTTACAATGAATTAAAACGTGATTCATTTTACGAAAGGTTTTGCTCTGTTTATGAGTCCTATGGTGTTTATGATTTGAAACATCACAACAAAACTCATCCGTAAAATACCCGTACTTAACTGCCTGATTTTTCAATTTCGGCGTGTAGTGTCACAGAATACACAATTCACATGCAATGCACGTGAGAGTTGGGGATCAGATAGTCTCAATGATGGGTATAAAAGGTTGATCGCTGTCTGGATTTGGAATATTGTTGACGAACGCAAAATGCCACGTCTAAAGTGAAGCCAACCGTCATATCGCCATTGGTTTGCTTGAAGCTGGCCAGTCTCAACGATGCAGTTGCCCGATGCATGAATGTTCACCAAAAGCACCATTTCACGGCTCTGGGGGAGAGATATCTCAGGCAGAATTCGGTAGCAGTTGCCCCTCGTAGTGGGCGACTTCGAGGGACCACTGCGGCGCAGGATCGCTACATCCGGGTACATCACCTGCGTCATCGAACAGCTGCGGCGACCAGTACCGCTCGACAAATACCCGGATTGAGGCTTTCTGCACAGACTGTCAGGAACAGGTTGAGAGAGGCTGGTTTACGTGCCAGAAGACCTTATTTTGGCCCTGTGCTTCGACAACAACATCGTCGACATCGAGTTCAATGGTGCAGCAACGTTCAGGTCTGGAACCTACCGAATTGGCGTAGAATCTGGTTCAGTGATGAATCACGATTTCTATAGGAACGACGCGATGGAAGAATGCAGGTGTACAGACGTCGAAGTGAACGTTTCGCCGACGCTTGCGTTTCCCAGGTGGACAAATTCGGCCGGGGGCAGTGTTATGATGTGGGGGAGATCACCTCCCGTAGGAGAAGTGATTTGGTGATGATCCAGGGCAACCTGACAGCTCAACAGTACTGTGACGAAATCCTACGCCCCACCTCCTTCCAATCATTGATCGCCAGAGGGAGTTGTTTCAACAGGACAATGCAAAGGCCCTACACAGCACGTCACACTAGAGACTTCCTCCAGAACCACATAATCAATATGCTCCCTGGCCCTCAAGATCACCGGTCTTAAACCCGATCGAACATCTGTCGGATGTCCTGGACAGACGGGTGCGAGGCCGTAACCCTCAGCCCCAGACACTTCAGTATAGGCACTACATGGAAGAGTGGAATGCGATTGGGCAGCACGAGATTCTGAGACTTATTCGTTCGATGCCGAGGTGATGCCGTGCTGTTCTGGATGCCCACGGTGGTCACACGAGGTACTGACTTCAGCGCCACCACACGTCTCCATGTGATACTCAAACTGACTTTCCTCAAGTTGGTGCTAAAGACTGATTTCCCAGTGTGCAATATTGCTATATTTCATTGACTCATAAAGACTACAAGATGTTTCAAAATTAACATAAAAATACAGTTGAAATTCCTATATGCGTTTCTTTTTGGGAGAGTATATAATGTCTATTCAAATAGAATGTCTTTGTATTTCGGGTATATTGATCATCATATTTTATAGCAACACCACCAAACTTTGGCACCTGCAGCACCACCTGTTCTGGGACAAACGTTGTCTGCAATAACGGATATTGTGTGTGTGACATCATGTACGTCAAACTTGGCAGCAGTTGTGTCCAGGGTAAGTATTTATCTCAAATGAATATCCTTTTATTTTTGTTGTTTATGACCACTTAGGGCATATGTATTCCAGTGTGTAATTTAATTACAATGATACTCTAACACAAGACTTAGGTGTTGTTTTTGTGTTATAAGACTCCTATAATGCTCGTACCACAGACCGATTTTCTATGTCTGATATTTGTTCCTTATTCCATGTTTAAGGTTAATAATAGAGTCCTCCATCTGAGCAAACAACTCGTCGTTGACAGTATTGTTACGGAACCACGCCGTCGGGGCACGATATGATGTATAGTCAACCAGGTCACGATAACCACAGGAATTAGTTGGATGGGTCCCATATGTTCATCCAAAGCTTTCAAAAAGCCGTGAACACTTACATCCACTTACATTTTCAGTTGTGGTGATATTTGCCCTTCAGGATAGATGTGGGTATGTAAAGTGCATTTTCAACGGGGACATTAATGTATTAATATCCTGAGGTAGGGCAGATGTGTTTTACCCTTGATTTTGTTTAAAATTAGTGAATAGTGTATGCATGCAATTCCCTTTGAACGTTACAATAACCTCGATCGTCCTTCATTTCCATTGGAACGTTACAAAGAATCAATCGTCCCTACGGGTACCGCTTAGAGCTGTCCTTTATTGGAAAATGGTCTCACAAGCCAAGAGGGGAAATTGGTGAAAATCAAACTACGCAGTTGGGACATGAATCAACCAAATCAGCAGCGAGCCTTATCCATCCCGCCCCCTCTTTGATTGCCGAAGACCAATTCTAAGTCTGGAACTTCACGGGTATCTAGCCAAAGAGGGTGAATATAGATAAGGTAAAGGGCTGTTATTACTCTTTTCGAACGTTTCGCTTCTCTTTTTAGATTGCGGTGGATCTGGATATGGATCAAGCATGACGATCTTTAACAGCACATTAGCTGTGAACGTCAAGGCGGTCTACAACACTGGAACAATAGAGGAATGCATGGATCTGTGCCTGTCACACTCAAATTTTCTTGGTATTATCGTGCATTATGTTTTCAAGGTTAAGAGTTGCTTTGAGGCACAACAGCTTGGTACCGTGTACCACAGTACTCTCGAGTTACTACAGCGGCTCGTTTCACGAGTGATTATCCGTAATTGTGCTGCTAAGGTATGGTTCACCCATACTTGGAGGTCGTTATTCGACAAACGGATCATAATTCTATCTGTATGTAAACTGCTGCGTGGAAGAAAATGGTAGTCACACCCGTAAAGACTAGTAGAAAAGTGATTACTCTTCAAGGACATATGTTAAAGCACCTTTATTACTCACGTGGTATATATACCGGTTGGTTGATTGTTGTTTAAGGCCGCACTCAGCAATATTCCAGTTATATGGCCGCAGTCTGTAAATAATCGAGTCTAGACCAGATATTCGAGTGTTTCAACAACATGAGCATAAATCTACACAATGTGGAGACGATGACATGTGTCAACCAATTCAGCGAGTCTGACCACCACATCTTGCGACAAGCTTGGGTCACCGAAGACGGACTCTAACCTGGATCTTCATTGGTATAAAGATACCGGAGGTGTGATTGTTAATCCGTACCTGACACGTGACCTTGGTAACTTCATTAATTCACTTACAAAAGAAGCATTCAATTCTACAACTTTTTACTACCGCTGTTACGAACAGAAAGAATCTGGTGAAATGTGAAACATTGTCAGACAAGAATAATCAATGTTCGCATACCTATGTAAAAAAATAAATGTGCTATGTAAACAATAACGTATCTTGGAGATAATGGATTTTTTCAGTACATACCAACACACAATATACATTCAATACATACATACAGACAGTTCCTTCTCTTCAAGGCTTCCTCGTTCAAGCTCACACACGGTACATAGTTAACATGTTAGTGAGTTGATACTGAGCATGACGCTCGCTCACATGTTGTCATTAGGATTTGTTTTTTAACGCCACACACACTTTAGCAATTTTCTGTCTCTATGACGTCGATCTGTAACGTGCAGATTTGGACCATACAATCAAGTGATTAACATTATGAGCTTGGGTCTGCGCAATCGTCATTGGAACTAAGACTCCTCAGGAATCTCAGACAATAGTTTAATCTTCACTTGCTGAGGGTAAAGATATATTTACAGCTTTGACCTCTGTCAAACAAGAAAACCATGATTCTAAAAAATCATGTCAGATTCATTATCCCGCCTCCAGGCATTTCAAAATGTCATTCGATCATACTCTAAATCTTAGAACTTTACAACGATCTTTTGTTGGTAACCAAATCATGTAGGCATAGCCGATGCTTCAGCTTCAGCGGCTCTTGACAAACCTTTATCGCCACTTCTTTATAACAGGCCCTCGTGACTTTGCGAGGGATTAAAGATGTTAAGAAAACATATATAAACTTTGAGATGACCTTCGACTCGAAATGCTTCACAGTACAATACGTTATGTACTGTTTAGCATTTCAAGTCTCAAAATATATTTTTCTATTTAATCTTCGCAAAGTCACGAGGGCCTGTGCTGAATATCCCGTACAGTGATTTCAAGCAAACTATGCAAAACGGGAAAGAATAAAGAAACTTAACGAATTCAGGCGCGTAGAAAGCAAATTTTTCGTGTAAGCCTGATAGGTTGCAAAGCTTTATATTTAAATAGCATTGAATGCTTGCCCAACTTTTTTTATCAACAATCACGTGTAAGCCCGGGCTGTTTTCTATAATGGTAGCTACGCCCCTGGAATTTAAACCAACAATCGGTAATACCTACTTGGGTTGTCAGTCAAGACATGACGAAATAATTTTGCGACGCGGTCGTACTGGCCACAGTCGGTTTACCCACGAGTACCTGTTTAAAAGAGGTAAGGACTAACCTCCGGTGTGTATACCTTATGATGAAAGGCTCACCGTCAAGCATTTTGCCTGACTGCGTGGACTTTGCAATTGCAAGGGATTCACATTATCAAGCAGTGAACCTAAAATATCTTTTTACTCGTGTATGCTGTCATCTTATAATTAATTACTTGTAATAAACTTACCTGTACCATAAACTTTGAATATATGTATGTACATTAATATTGCTTGTTTGTAAATTCTGGGCTGATGGGCCCATATTGTAAATACTGAGTGAAAAAAGAAACTTCACAAAATGTAATTTGACAAATAATGAATAATTCGTCTCTGATGATACATCTATGTATCCGAAATGGGATCCCTATCTTTCGACTCTTGAAAACGTTAGCAAACCCACTCAAACCCATCCATTCTTCGTGCAAATGACGTTAGTGCCAAATCAGGTTTTGCACGTGCAGTCGATTACGTGATCTTCGCATCGAAGTTTTCTTCATATGCACGTGTTTGCATTGGCCTCAAGAATTGAAAAAAACACTTTTAAACCACAGTTCTACGGTACTTGAAATGCCACGATTGTCAAATGTGCAACGTGGAACGTGCCGTTGGCACGTTGCAAGCAGGAAGATCAGTTATTGACGTCGAAAGAGCAATGGGATGCAGCCGTCGTACTGTGTATGACTTGCGAGGTCGTCTACAACAAACTGGCACCACTTCTGATCGCCCAAGGTCGGGTCGTCCACGTGTGACGTCACGAGCAGAAGACCGTCAAATCGTCCTACGTCACCTACGTGACAGATTTCTGCCGGCTACACGAACCAGGGCTGAGATGTTTAGAGGTCGACTGTCCTCACAGACCTTTTGAAATCGGTTGCAGGCTGCCAATCTCCATATCGTAATAATATTGACGCCGTTTCATCAACGTCAATCGTCTGCTGTGGGCCCAACGTCACCTCCGATGGGCCCAGAGAGACTGGAATCGAGTCGTCTTTAGCGATGAATCCAGGTTTACCCTCAGATTCGCGGACGGCAGGCATAGAGTCTGGAGACGACGTCGTGAACGGTATGCCCAGTGTTGTGTACAGGAAGTCGACAGATTCGGGGGCGGAAGTTGCATGGTGTGGGGTGCTTTCTGTGGGAACAACCGTTCCCGACTTCTGGTCATCCGTGGAAACCTCACAGCTGCTGCTTACCGCGACCCGGTGCTCACCCCTGAACTCGTTCCTTTCATGGCGGCTCATGGCCCAGGTCTACAGTTCCAGCATGATAATGCTCGGCCGCATACCGCGATGTTGACACGAAATTTCCTTCAAAACGCTGGAATCAACGTCATGGACTGGCCATCTAGGTCCCCTGACCTTAATCCAATAGAGCACGTTTGGGATGCACTTGGGAGAAGGCTTCGTGGTCTTAGGAACCAACCTCAGAATTTGCAGGAACTTGGCGCTGCCTTGCAAGAGCAATGGCGCAGAATCCCCAACCACGTGTTCACAAGCATCAGGCAGTCGATGAGGAGACGGTGTTTGGCAGTGGTGAATGCGCGGGGCGGCCATACACGATATTGAACTGAGAAATTTCGCATTTTTATTCTTGTGACTTGACATTCTGTATACCCATGTTTTGGAACGGCGGTGTAGCCTAATGGAACTGATTATGGCACTGTCAGTGTATCGAGTACATCACACAAATCTCAGCAATGAAATAATAACTATTTAACCATCTTACCATCTCTTGTTTTTATAGTGCCCCTGAAGAAAGAATGTGAAGTTTCTTTTTGACTCAGTATAGTATTGTTATAGCCCTTTTATGTTTTAAATAATACTCGTTACAGCGCGTGATCTCAGTTGTAAATAAATAATATTGTGATGTTAAAATGTGTAAAGTAAACATTGCTTTGGAATGTAACGTTGTTTTATTATAGATTTGTGTATATGTTTAAAGTTGGTGTCGTTGCTGTATCGCTGAAACAATACCGATGCGACGTTAAATCTTACCTCACTGACTCACTCCATTTAAGCTCCCTGTCCTATTAGTCGCCACTTTGTGACCAATTTACGGTTTATATAATGATATAGGATATACTTGGAGTGAGTGAGTGAGTGAGTGAGTTACAATTTATCGTCACACCGGCAATATTTCAGCCAAATAGTGACGAGAGCAAGGTTAGTATATATGATAAATATCTCTTACGAAGGACAGTAAAACGTTACCAACGTATCACAGAAAGCAAGTCTAAAACTAATATCCAATTCTAAAAATGCAACTCGATATTAAATATAATAACATTAAAACACGGGCTATGGACCACCAACAACCAAAGCTAGGCCACCGTACGGGGGTTCATGGGGACTTATAGTACTTCAGCTTCCTGCATGAATCTCCAGCAGGATTGATACACACAAGGCAAATCACAAATATAATGTGATGGTTGTACATATATTCAAAGTAAATACTGAACAGTTTAAAAGTTGCAAAATATATCCTTACATTGAAGAAAGTGTGTGGAAAAGCAAAATGAGCTTAAAAAAGATATTGATAACATTGAGGCAACCAGTTTAGAATCTGTCTGATGAACACGTTTTGCACGAGAACCTAACATGTGCGATGAATTTACTTTGGAGATTAACCTTCCTATTTTTCTTGAAACCCCAAGACAAACATTACACGATTCATGTCCTTCTAGCAGGTCCTACAAAAAACCAGCCTCTCTTGACAGCTACCACCCCGCCTCAACCTTACCAGCCCCGTCCCTCTCCTCGCCAGAAAAGAAGATGTTTTTCTTCCACAGTTAGCCTGCTGCACTGGGTGCTTGGGGCACCATCGAAGAAGGTAACTCAAGAAGGTAGGTCCTCAGGCTGGAATGCTGAAATGTTGTCTGCATGACGACAGAAGTGTATAGCCTGTGGGTACGATCGCCGTCAAGTTGAAAATAACGTGCTCCAGTAAACAGTGACTAAGAGACTTTATATGGCGGCGGTCCGTGAATAATCGGTTCTGGGCCTGACGATCCAGTGATCAACATCATGAGCATCGATCTACAATACTAGGATACGAGGAGATGTGTCAACCAAGTAAGCT